CGTTGCCGCAACAATACAACCCTTTCCCTCTAACACCCCCCAGGCATTGCCGCTCATGGCGGTTCACCCACCATTAAGAAAGAAAGAAGGGAAAAAAAATAAATAATAATAACATCCCACGATGCCGTCGTTGCCGCACCCACACAACCCTTTCCCCCTAAACCCCCATTGCATTACCGCTCATGGCGGTTCACTCATCATTAAACCACCACTACCTGCCAGTTGTTAAGGCCCGTGGCTCAGCCTACCGGTAGGCCGGTCGTTCCCAAGCCTTGGACTTTATTGCCGAGCCTCGAACAACCGGTAGGACACTGTCTCTTATACACATCTAGATGTGTATAAGAGACAGATGTGTGCGAGCTTGATGTCAAGGGACTTCAACCTTCGCAGCCAAGCCTGCGCCAGAGCAGTGACATCCTTCTTTCCTCGCATAACATCTGTCGCGACGTATGTGGCGCCCCGTATGGTCCCAACGAGATAGTTGCACAACGTCTGGCCCCGAATGTTGGTCCAACCGTCTGTCATAATCGTGCAACCGTAGGTAGTCGAAGTAGCAAGGACAGGTTTCACACACTTTCGGACTTTCGCATCAAGCTCATCCAAAAGTGTGGTACGGATCATGTGATACGTCGGGGGTTTTGGGGTGGGCACTCCGGGAACCCCAGGCGGGATGATCAACTTTAACATGCGTTTGAAGCTCTCAAGCTTCACACAGTTGAACGGCATGCCGCTCTCGACAATGAATCGCATGATCTGCAAGTGTCATGCGTGCTCAGTGGGTCGTTGTAATACGAGGTCACCGCCTGCTTCCTGTGAGTGTCCCTCACTCGTGCACCGGTGCGTCAACCTAGCGAATCCCACACCCCGCTGCCGGCCGCAGGTGATGCGGTGGGGCCTGGACTCGGAGCTGCAATATTGCGCAAATTTTGTAAAGGATCCAATGTCCCAAAAACACCGTGCTGCGAGGCTGGGGCGGTCACGGGCGCAGGAATGGGTGACGACCGAAACCTGAACAGGCTCGTTGCCCGCCCTCTCAGTGACCGTCGCAGCGGTCCCACCAAGAGGTGCCGAAGTTGAGTTTGGTGTAGGTCCTCGTGTTTGCGAAGGAGGGGGCGGCAACCATGGATACGCAGCGGATTGATGTCCCGTTGCAGGTGGTCCTGCCACGGGCGGACGTACGGCTGCGCGTCCAACTCTTGCAACGTTGTCCGTGTTCCCAGTGAACAACGGGGCGAGGCCGGATGATGTGCCTGCGTCCTTCCCCCACTCACGGCCCTCAACGAAAGCACGAGTCCCTGGCTCGACGAAGACCACATGTTCCCGGACACCTGAAACTGGCACGGTGCCTTGCGCATCATACTGCGTCGCCATTGTTGCGCCATCACCAGATGCGGGAATCGTCGGATGAAGCGGTGCATGTGAGACTGTCGCTGGACGAGGGGGGAGTGGAGCACGTGGTGCACGTGGAGATGGCGCCATTTGCGAGGGGGCGGCGGTCGACGGGGGCGGTGGAACACCTTTCTCGGGAAAACGAATCGGTGGCCATTGGAAAGAGGGATGACCTGGAGGGAGATTATGCAAGGCTTGCACGGCATAAACCAAATGGGCAGGACACTTCGACATATCCTTTGACCAAATCGTGTGCTGCACTGTCGGAGTCGCCACGGGGCATTTGTAGCCCTCGCCATGAAAAAAGTGTTCCTTCGCATCGCGAGTACCCCCACATATGGAACGGCCGCATAACCCGCACATACAACGGCGACCGTTCTTCCTCCCGAGTGCAGTGGATCCATCTAAATAACGGTCACGAGCAACGAAATGTCAAACAGGATCATCTCGTTTTGCATCCACCTTTGGATCTACCCTGAAAGGGGAGTCAAAGGTCTTCATGTTTTGACATTTTTTACTACAGTCCGACCTCTTCCCCATTGTCGACGAGGACTCCGCGGGGCCCTTCCCGGTGTTGCGTTGTGGGTCAGACATGTTGTGCATACCGAAAAAAATCTAAAGAAGGGTAAACTGAAACGAACTCCGGCGGCGACGACGAAGAACTGCACTGAACAACCGATGAATCAACCTGGAAAAAAATGGAAGTCACCAGAAGGTACACAAGTTCCACAACAAACACAACGACAAACAAGAGGAGGAACAAAGGTAAAGACCCCTTTCTCCCCAAGAAATAAAAACACCCCCAGGAAGAAGAAAAAAACACCCCTAGAAAGGAACAAACAAGAGAAGGAACCAACACCGCTAGAAAAAAAAAAAAAAAACACATCCCACGGCATCCCGTCGTTGCCGGCATGCCGCACCCACACAACCCTTTCCCCCTAAACCACCCGTGCATTGCCGCTCATGGCGGTTCACCCACCATTAAGAAAAAAAAAAAAAAAAAAAAAAAAAAAA